AAAAAAAAAAAAAAAAAAAAAAAAAAAAAAAGCAGCAAAACCCAACCCCCAAACCACTAAGAGAAAGTAAAAGGTAAAAAACATGGAAGTTTTCATGTGAGAAAAAAGGTGGGATTTTTTCCTGGGAACATAACCTACTAACTTGTCTCCTGATCCTTTCAGAGGGCAGAAAAGATAAATTCCCAAATCAAGTACAGCCTAAGTCTGAGAGAAGAGTGCTGCATGGAGGATGAGGCCAGAAAAGACTGGATGTGCCTCCCATCCAACAAAATCCTGGTACCATCCTGTGCGTGGGATATAGGATGAGAAGGCAAGGATTAAACCCAGGATGAACCATACCCTGAGAGAAATTCAGCATCAAATTTACTCACTCCAGCTCCAGGGAATGCATAACCCAATAGATCCTTTCCTCCTCTAATTCTTTTTGCTGTTCCAGATGTTGGGCAAAACACCACCATGGATGGATGGAACATTCAGAGAGAAAAGCAGCTATTTGAGAGAAATGTTGTGGGAGCTTTTTTGGGGTCTTCAGTAACTCCTGCTGCACATGGCAGAGACACCCCTGCAGTGCCATCCCATGTTTGTGTTGGTGTGGCTTAACCCACAAATCCTCAAGGAAGATCTGTTGTGGCTTATGCTGGATCCTCATAAATGTCTCCAGAGCTAACCAGCAAGCAACCACACCACACAAATTTACTTGGCTTTTAATTGTGGCTGTTTTCCCTGCCCTCTGTGAGGATTGCTTTCTTCTCTTCCACCTGCCAGAGTGTATCTGTGGCTGTGCAGTGCTCACAGGCTAACAAAAATCATAGGGTTTTGTGCTTGGATCATGTGTGCTGCCATCTATGTGATTTCTCCTAGAACTTTCCCAATTTATCAAAGAATGTGGGAATTGCCATGAAGATTGAGAAAACAAGGGTCCATCCAGCTGAGTGACCACAGCTGGACACCCAGGTAATTGTGTGCAGACATGGGGGATACTTCTCCCTGCTATTTCACCTGTTTCCAACCATTTTCTGCTCAGGGGCTTTCCTGAGCTTCTACATGTCACAGTGTCCACTTCACTGGCAAAACCCTCAGGCAATTTATGTGCTGCAAAACCTCTGGCTACTACCACAGATATAAATCAAGCAGAATTAGAGTCATTGACAATAATTGGGGAAAAATAATCTGTGATTTGGAAGACATATGAGTTTTGATCTTAATTTGGACTAAATCTCCCAGGAACATAAATTATCTGTTTGGCTGTCTCTGTTTCCTGCCATTCCTGTGGAATCTTGCTGTGCAATGGCACAGAGCAGTAAAGGATATCCCAAATCCAGTTTAAGGTGAACAGAAGGACACTTCCACAGTGGAGGGGGCTCAGATTTTGGAATGAGGAGCTCCTTTCAGTGGGCACAGGCAGCCAGGGACAAGAATTAGCTGAATAAAATGCAAAGATGAGAGCCATGAAATGAGGAGGGAAGGGGCTGGACAAGGAGCAGACAGGGTACAGAGAAGGCTCTTGAGGAACTCTTTTAGGGGCACTGATAGAAATTTGGGGGTCAGTTTACATGAAAATGGAAGAAAAAAAACACAAGAATTCTTGGAGAAGAGATCCAAAAGTTGCAGGTGCTGGGAGAAGCAGCACCTCATCTTTCAGTGTCCTGGCCAAGAAAATCAACCAGGTTCATTAAGGCAAAGAGAAGCCCAAGTCCAGTGATCAATACTGGACTCATTGTCCAAAATATCCCCATGAATGCAGACTGATGCCCAGGGGAGCAGCGGTGCTAAGGAACTGCTCCCAACCAGTTTGGGACCTTTGGAATAAAGATCCATTCTCCTCAGTATTCCAGATGATGACATGAACAATCACAATTTTCTGTGATGGTCCGAAGTGCAAATATGTTCATTAAATAGCTGTATCAGTGAGATCTTACAACATTAATAAGCAACAAATTTTAATGTAATTTTCACCGAATTCCCCAAAAGAAATCTGTACAATGTACTTAAAATTATTTTGGATGTATGAAGCAGTACTAGTTGCTGCCACCATTTGAGTTTTAAACTTCAAATCCACTGTGCTTCCTTTTTCAGTACTCTATTAGTGCCCATTGAAAGAAGTTAGCATTTACACAGATCAAATCTAACTTTAGAAAAACCTTCCTCAAACGAACAGATGAGAATGATTCCTCAAAACATAATAACCCAAGAAAACTTTATTCGAACCATCTTCTTGCCAGGGTGCACCCAGTTTTCCAAGCTCCCTCTCCCATTGTACACAGGTACATTTCAGCAGGGACACAAAGCACATTAGGGCTTGCTCCAAGGAGCTCTGTAGCCTGCAGGATCTTTGCAGAATCCAGCCCGAAGAAACGCAGCACTTTGAGAAAACAGAGCTGTCAAGCAAGATTTCCTTGGGCTTGCTGCCACACAAAATGGCAAACGAGGGACTTGATCCTGCAGCAAGACAATAGGAATTAGAGGTGCTCAGCATTTTGTCTTCCGGCAGAGTTAAGGTTCCTCAGTAATTCCCCAAATCAGCTGTACTGCTTTATACTTATTCAAAATTACATAGCTAAAAGCTTTGGTAGGCAGCCACAAAGCTTTTATTTAAAATTGGCAATAATGTAACTTCTGCAAAAAAAAAAAGACTACAATAATGTTAAAAATATCATAAAATGTTATTTATATCAGGATTCATTTGTTACCCCATATGACAATCATTCATATTTCTTGACAGATATAAACCTCCGCTTAACACATTAGTATCATAAATATTACCAGATATAACACTGTAATTTAATACCTACCAAATGTATTTTAAAATATTACTCAATTTAAAACTTTGGATTTTAACCAGATGTGTTTCCAGAAAATGATTCAGGTCAGATGCTTTTTTTCTTTTCCCTTTTCTGTGCCCGCACGTTCAAAGCGGAGCGTTCCTATGTGATTTATTGTGCCATGACTGTGTGCCCCGAACCTAAAACAGCACCACGATACTTCATCCTCAAGGCTTACACACCTGCAGTCCAAACTAACAAGAGAAAACATCTACATGGCACGGCAGGAGCCTTTGAAATGTCTTTTTGCAGTTGCCTGGACACAGAACAGACTGGTAGAACAGGGAGGCAGCGGAGAAAGGGTGAAGACAGGAACTCCAGCCTCTTTCATCTAGAAAGGGGGGACCATGGAGAGATTAGAGGAAAGGATTTTGATTAGATCACTGGAATGTGAAATGATGCTTCCCAGGATTAAAATCCTATTTTAGAGCTACCAAACCGGTTACGGCGTTAGTCAGAATTTGGAGGCTCGTGCAGCTCCATCCCTGCTCCATCTCCGGCTGTCACTCCGAGCTCCCCACGCCCTCTCCCCAGACCACAGGGGACCCCAGCCAGGCACCCCAATCCTCTCCAGCATCATCCCAGCAAGGAGCTGGCCCCCCTCAAAGCATGGCAGTTCTGGGGGAGAAGGAATTTCCTTCTCCATGGGCATCCCTGGGTCCAGCCCCACGGCAGTCGCATGGAGACTTGGATTTCGGTCTCATTGGGCCCCCAGTTTAGATCACCATGTAGAGGTCTGACATTTTCATAACCAAATGCCATTAGTTTTATTCCCAGCACAGCTAACCAACAATCTGAAGGTCTGTAGTCGTCGGGCTGATCATTACGTGGAACCCATTAACATAAAACCCGCCATCGCAATTAGTATCTTTGTAAGCAGCAGCCTCAGCAAAAAGTGGAAATGGAGGCTGAAATGATGGTGCTTTTCCAAAGGAGGCCGGCAGCAGATTGGGAAATAATCTGTGGCAATTGCTCTGCTGCTGTCTCTGCCTAACTTCTCCAAAGACAGGCAGAGCCATTTCCAAGCAGTCAGCCCACGGACTTGAGCGAGCACTAAATTCACTCGGTGATCAAATACAATTTGAGAAAAAATCTACAATCGCTCACTTGGGGGGGAAGAGATATTTTCCTTTTACAGATGAAGTGCAAAACAGTGAAAGTAGCTGTATTTGGAAAAATACTGTGCAGTTTATTGATTCCAGAGGGGACAGGTACAGACCGTGGGTTTACCCATTTCCCAGCAAAAACGGAATAATTTCGAGGGGTGCAAGGCATCTGCAGGCTGGTTTGTTTTGTTAGGAGATGAGCCTGCTAAAATGTTCTGTGCTTTTCAGGAAGGGAACAAGGAAAATGTTCGCATTTATAGCAGCATCATTGTTTAGAACAAAATAAGTTATTTCATCCTTGTAATCTCCGTTTTTATGGCTATCCTGCGCGGGGCTGGGACCTGATTTTCCAATCTCCGTGCGATCCTTCTCCCCTCGGCAGCGGCCGGCGGCACCGGCCCTGGCAGGGAGCGCCTGTCCGCGCTGAAGAAATCCCGTTCCAGGCGCTCCCGGACCGCCCCGACACCGGGAACCCGCTGCCCCCGACGCACTTTTCCATTGTTGTTTCCCCTAAACTCTCCGCACTCGGCTAATTTTAGCCCCGCGGCTCCCCGAGCGGGCTCCCCCCGCCGCCGCTCCGGGCACCATTTGCCGGGCGATGCGCTGCCATCAACCCGCACGGTCCCGCACCGCCCCGCATCATCCCCGCCGCGCCGTGTGCGCACCGCCCCGCACCGCTGTCCCCGCGCGCGCGTCCCCGCATCGCCCCGCGTGTCCCGCGTCCCCTCCCCGCGTGTCCCCGCGTGTCCCGCGTCCCCTCCCCGCGTGTCCCCGCGCTGTCCCCGCGGGTGCGGGGTCGCCGTGAGCGCGCGGCCGCGGCGCCCCTTCCCCCCCCCGCCCCCCCCACCCGCGAACGCGCGGGCTGAGTCCGTGTTCCGGGCGGGCTCCAGGCCGGGATTTGGGCGCTCCCTGCCCGCCTCCCTCCCCCTTGCCCCCCCGCCCCTCCTCCCCCCTCCCGCCGGCTCCCTAACTCCAGCCCCTCTCTCTCTATCAGCCGCTCACTCTGTCTCAATATGTCTCAAGATGGCGGCCAATGTGGGATCGATGTTTCAATATTGGAAGCGCTTTGATTTACAGCAGCTGCAGGTCAGGCTCCCCCGCTCGCCGCACCGGCCGGGCCGCGCCGCCGGACCCCCCCCCTCCCTCCCTTCTCCGCCTTCCCTCGGGCCCGGCCTCCCCCTCCTCCTCCCGCTGCCGGCCCGCGCCGCCTAAAGGGAACCCCCCGCTCCGCCCGGCCGCGGCGCTCCGCTCCCTCCGCCCCCCCCGCCATCGATCACCGGCCCCATCGGAAATTGATCCTCTTTGTTCAATTCATCGATCAGCCCAAGATGGCGCCGGAGCCGCCGCTGCCGGGGCTGCCGCCGCTTCGCCCGCTCCGTCCCGGGCTGCTCTTTCCCCGCTCCGCGCTCCCCCCCGGCGGCGGGGCCGTGCGGGGCGGCGGGCGCGGCGGGACTCCCGGCGGCCGCCGCTCATCCCCCGCCCGCCTCCTCCCTCTCCCTCCGCGCCGCCTGCCCCCTTTCCGCCGCCGCATCCCCGCCGCTTTTCCTCCGCCGGGAGCCGGGGAAAGTTTACCGAGTGCTGGGACTTTGTGTGGGGGCGCCGGGCGGGCTGGCGGTGCAGGCGCGGAGCGGCGGGGGCTGGGGGCGCTGTGGTGCCGGCCGGGCGGGCGGGCGCTCCCCGCCGCCGCCGCGGGGTGCCGGCCCTCGCTCCGCTCCGCTCCGCTCCGCCGGGCGCGGGGCTCCGGCCGCCGCCCTGCGACCGCCGCGGGCACCGCGCCGGGCCGCCAGGGGAGGGGACGCGGCGGCGACCGGCCGGCAGGGAGGGTCCCGCGGGGTGGGAAGGGGCGAGCGCCCGGTGCGCGGAGAGGGGGGCTCGGGAGGGCAGCGGCAGCGCCGGGCGCGGGGAGGGGCGCGGGGGCGTCCCGGCCGCCGGGGCGCATCGCGACGCATCTCCCCGCGGCGGCGGGAGGGCACGTTACATAATTCACGGGCTCTCCAGCCGCTCCTGCTGCCCAGGATCTGACAGATGAGCGGAATATTGATGCTTTACTGTGCTGGCTCGGGAGGACCCAGAAGTGCCGTTTCCTGCGAGGGAAAGTCCTCGCAGACCGGCCTCCCTCCCGCTGGCCCGGGGGAGCGTCCCCGGGGGAACTGCGGCCCCACGGTTTAATTGAGTTGCCGGGCTACAGATAAGGCCGGGGCGGGCCGGGGGGGCTGTCAGACGCTGTATCGGTGCTGCTCCCGCCGTGAATGGGATTGCAACACGCGTGTCTCCCAGTTGATTGGCGCAGGAAGGCGCTGCCCTGCCTCTCCAAAGCCGCCGCTGCCTCCCGTTTAAATAAATTGGCTCGAAACCCGGCGGCTGCCCACCCTGGCCCCCGCGGAGGCGGCGCTGGAGCCGGCCGGAGGCTGCGGCAGGCGGAGGGATGGTGCGCTGATGCTGGGCAGAGCCGCATTCCCGCTGGAGGTGAGGGGATGCTGGCCGGGGGCCGGCTGCGGGACCCGGGTCCTGCCGCCCTCCCTTCCCCTCGGCCGGGCGTGCGGGAGCCATATCATATATATACATATATATAATATTCAAAACTCCCACCCCAGCAGCCCCCGAAAGGGGAAGTGCTGCGTGGGATCTGTGCTGGGAGGCCGGTCCCTTCCGACTTTCAGGTGCATTAGGAGGTGGGGTAAAGTAGCGTTTTGTTTCAGGTTTCTCTGTCGTCTTCCACCCCCTTTCGCGTTTTATTGCTTCTTTTAAAGGTTTTGGATTAAGGTAGACTTGGCTGAACTTTGCTAACTTGAAAGGGTTCTTAATAGTGACCCGGAATACCTACAGGAATACAGAAAACGAGATCCAGATGTAGAATTGTATAAAATAAAATGGATTAAATTAAGATGTAGTTAAACAAGGTCTGACATCTCTAATTGTGGACTTTTGCTTTTGCCTCTGTGTACGTGTGGTTGTACTTGCTTAGCATAGGAAAATAAACGCTCCGAACATCGCTGCCGTGGTGTTACATTTAACGGTGAACAAGTCTAAATATTGCCTATAAAAATAAAGCCTTCAGAAATGCTTATTGATTAAAACATATTATGCTAAAGTATCTATCATGTAAATTAAATTCTAAAATGTAATGAACACAGCCAAATGACATTTTGATAGATTGTTCTATTCTGTTTTTAGTAAAAAATAGCTCACTTTTATCATAATTTAATTTCTGTGCATACTGTAAAACCTGTTGTGGAGTATCACTGTACAAACCTTAATCTCGTTTTTGCAGACTAAATGTGACAGTCTGACTTGAACAGCTTGTAGCTTCTCCTTTGAAGCATTCTGGTAACGCCAGCTTAGAGTTGTTTGAACAATATTCATTACCTTTTGAGGACTGGTGATTATTTATCCGTGTGCGGATTGAGGCTGTTCACCTGTTGGCAGGTTCACCAGGCAGGCTGTGAGCAGCACGGAGTTTGTTAACTTTGTATGCACTCTGTCTGCAGAGAGCCCTGGAGTGACCGGGGAGGGAGAGAATACCTTCCTCCCTATGCAGAATAGTTAATTTGTTTCAAATTAGCTTTTTAATTTTTTTTTTTTTACCCACCCATCTGCGCGAAGAGGTAGTGTAATGTTTACTCCCACTTGCAGATGAAGCAATGTGGTATAAAAACTATCATTCCCAGGGATGAAGTTCAGTCCCACAGAGCTGTCCATGCCTCCCTCTGTCCCCGTCCTTCACTTGCACTGACGTATTTCGAGCGTGGAATTGTAGAAAATAAAAATACTTCCGTGTACTCTCTGTTCCAGCGTGAAAGCCTGGAGGATTTATGCTTAACACAATTCCACCTGAGCCCTGCAGGACTCCAGCTCGTGTAGCTCAGGGTGTGAGGGCTTTGAAGCTCTCTGTGCATGAGAAAGTCGTGAGGAGCTGGGACTGGGCAGTCCCGGATCGCTGGCAGCCAGCGCTGCGTACCCGGCTGCTCCCAACTTCCTCTTCCACCTTCTGTTAGGAGGAGATGTTTAACTGTTGATGAGCTTCGACCTGCCTTGTAATATTAAGCAGCAGGTTTCTCCAGACTGTATCAATATTAATTAAAAACAGAGCCAGGAACACTTTAGGGTCTGACTTTTTAAATTATTTATTTCCTTTCGCTAAATAACCCTTGTTTATAAGGAAAGATGTTTCAAGTGTTGGAGACAGGATTAAATAATTCAGAACTTGGATTAAAGAACAAAAAGGTCTGTTCACAAATGGAATACAAGATGCAAAAATGGCAGCTTCCTACAGGTATCAAACGGGGCTCTTCACTGGAGACTGTACCTGCGAGGCACGCAGCTGAACATTAACCCTTTTCTGTAGTAAAGGCTGGCATGACTCCTAAAGAAACTGTGGAACTGGCATGGCACTGCTGCCTCAGTTTGCTGTGTGGTGGTAGATGGGCCCATGTTTGATGGGGAGGAGTTGCAGTGCTGAGAGAAAACAGCCCCTCGCAAACAGAGAGTACTGTGGCAGTAAATGCAGATGAAATCCCTGGAGAAATGCTGCTGCCCTCCAGTTAAAGCTGCACATCCCGTCTGCAAGCAGTTTGTGATTGGAATCAGATCAGCAGCATGAAGGTAACCTGCTGTTCCCTGGTTCTGGTTTGTTTGTAGTTTTTGGTGTCCCCATCACCTTCACTCTAAAAACAACCTTTTGCTGGAGAACAGGAAAAGGAGCATTGTGATCCCATAGGCACAGCATGGAGAGCATGCAGCTCTCCTTGACAGCTCGCTTAATATTTCTGAATATGTGTGTATACATCAATATCAGAGGAGGTAGCTGGTCTCCGACCAGCAGGAGTAAGTCTAGCTTGAGCCACAGCTCTGAGTTGGATCTGAGGACAAATGGAAAAGTTAATACCATTTGAAAACTTAAACTATCTGTAGTTATTTTGAAAATAAACACAAGTTCTCAAAATGTCATTGTAGCTTTTTAGGACAGGCTTACATTCTGGTAAAAAGTACAGTTTCTTATTGCTTTTGAGCAGAATGGCAGAACTCGTTACCATCAAGCTGGGGAGTGAAAATCTAAAGGCAAATCTTGCTAATGTGTTTATTTTTTAAAATCTCATCCTGGTATTGCGTCATATATGATTAAAGTAAGGATAGAGTATTAGTTTTGTGCAGGCTGTGACTAATTGTTTAGGGTAAACCATTGATCTTGTAAAATCTGTAACAAAATCTGGAAAAACTAAGTTGTAATGAATAGCTTGTAAATACTGAAGTACTTCTGTTACTGGATTGGAAACAGGTGGAGTTGCTGGCATCTTTTAGTTGGGTCTGATGGTACCAGAGCACAAGCTGATCTGTGAAGGAGTTTGTCTGCTTCATCAGAAGTGGAATTAGTGACCAGGTCTGAGTGTTTGATTTGTGTATCTGTGCAGCTCATTGTAGAATTGTTTCTGTCCCAAAAGTAGTCGGTGGTTCTCTGTTTATAGCAGTAGCTGAATGTGCATGGGGAGGAGAGTCTCCAGCTGCTGTAGCCACATTTCTGCTCCCCTCAGCTGCTCAGAGAGGAGAGGTGAAAGCAGCTGGGTGTTCCTGCAGAAGATGCAATACAGAGAAGAGAGTGATGGCAAAGCCAGGGCACTGCTGCCGAGATACTCCGAGAGCAATCACTGCTCCCCTGCAGCAGGAAAGCCCTGGCAGCTTGTGGTGGTCAGGGTGATGTCCCTGGACACCAACCACATGGGACATACCAGAAGAAAGGCCCTTGATGTACTTCTGGCACAAGAACTTGTCTTTCATAGGATTCCTTGAGTCCTGCTCCTTGGGAATAAATCTCTGAGAGCTTTTCTATCCCTTGTTCTATTCCTGCAATGAAATAATGCCCATTAGAAAAGTGGCAGAATCAGTGCGTGCTTCGGTCACTCTGCTCTAGTGCCAAGTTTGTGGTTAATTGGATGATGTATTGAGAAGTGCACTAGGGAGGACTTGGGATATGGTAATGGTTGGGAGTTTTCTGAAAAAGCATCACACTGGTTTGCTGTATCTGACAATACCAAATAAGTAACGGGTGAAACATTTTCTAGAGAAGAAATTACATGCAGTCTAAAATTCCA